TTACTGGATTTCTGACCCTAATCGTTATGTTTTTAATTTTGATGCTGTGCTGCCTGTATTATCCCTTGTCTGAGAAAGTCTGTTACAGATGTCGTGCACGCTGCTGGTATGATGCCTTTGCTGGAGGCACAAGAAGGAGATGCAGACACTGAGTCTAACTTTCGGAAGAAACTGGGGTTGACAAAAGATGACCCTTGGTTTGCTATTGGTGAGGTGGTGGAGTGACACCCTAGTGGGTGTCTAAAGGGGGAATCAAAATTCCCTGTTTGTGTTTTTATGTTTTATAAATCAATTTTAACTATTGTGAATGTTTGTCTTTCCTTATGTGAAGGTTTGAAGTTCCTGGGTGGCTGGTAGCCAACCTAGTACAAGTTAGGTGTAGATGGAAGGACTGAAGGCCTTTTTATTATCATTACTATTAATAAAAGTGTGATTATTTTTGTTTGTATTGTATTTTAATGAGTGACACCCTAGTGGGTGTCAAAAGGGGGAATCCTAAATTTCCCTGAAATTTCTTATTTTGGGTTCACACCCAGCGGGTGTGAAAGGGGGGATTGTTGGGATCTATTTTCTTATAATTAGATGTGATGCCTAGCTTAAAAAGAATACATTAATGATTAAACATAATAGGTTTGTGCTGTACTGATATAGATTGTTTAACATAACAAGCTGTGACTAATGTGAGGAACCGATAGGGGGGAGGCTGAGATAGACTTGTGACACACACACACACACTGCCTCTTTGTTAAACCGCTCAAGGACATGTGTACTGCAACAATGAAGAAGAGGAAACTATGTCTGAGGGTTGCTGACTCTCGAGACAAGTTGCAAAAAACAACTAATGCCCGGCAACAGTGAAGCGCCAAGAGGCTGGGACCAGCCTGAGCGCCAACGATAGGTTGAGTAAGTCTAAACCACGCTCAGCCTCTACTCTGATAGGCCTGCCTGGAGCAGGAACTATCTCTGTCAGAGTATCAAAAGAAGAACTTTGGGTTGGGACAGTTAGTTCTCTGTTTTGCCCTGCGAGGTGTTACAGTGAACCCGTATATACGAAAATTGCATTTACCATTTATTCGCTTGACTAATTACATTAATAAAAAAAGCAGAGAATATATTCAGTGACTTAGTGTTAAATTCTGTTCTGATACCAGATTCGAATTACGCAACTTAACAGTATGCCTGAAGATGTGCTGATGCCCGCCCCAGAGTGGACCACCAGGTACTGGGACTCCCTGATGGGCCAGAGCCTCTACCTCCCCCTTCAACTCTTCTTTACTGTCAAACGACTGGGAGAAGGCAGAGAGAGGGGTGAGGAGAGGGCAGAGAAGTGGGAGGAGGAAGCTGAGAGGGCAGGTGGGGGTGGGAAAAGAGGACGAAAGAATGGAGAGCGTGAAGAGGGTCGTTTTAGGGGGAACAAGGCAGGTTAGCCTCATCTATTTAAGTGGGGTGCAGTTGGTGGAGAACGGCCGAACATGTCAAAAGTAACAGTGGGCCGCGGCCCCAACAACAAAGTCATGCTAGGGGAAACACTGGCGTCCATGTTATCTTTGGTGTCTAGCAGAATCAGAGCTAGGATGGTAGCTAACTAGCTTTGAACGTTGTGTATATTGGCAGTGGTAATAGATATTGCGACGATAGTAAATACACTTTTGGCTAGAGGGGATCCTCGAAAAGCTTTGTACCTAGCTAGCAAGCTAACGCCTGCCTGAGTGTTTACCTCAGGGAGCCCGCATACACCTTTGTCCGCATAGGGAGACAGTCCAGTGGCATAGTTTACAGACATGACTGCAGCTCCTTAACTAAAACTCGGAAATAAACCTCAATGCTCTCGTAAACATTCGAGTTCAACACAATGCGCTGTAGTTTCGTTAGAAACCCAGCCTGTGTGCTCGTTGTCCAAGATTACCAATCTATAAAGGACTATATTAAAGGGAAATTCCACTCAAAATACAACGTGGACAATGGTCTCCATTTGCCTTGGCTGTAGTCATTCATCCAGTTTCTACTTTACAGTAAACCTTTTCTTTACGTTGCATATTTATTTTGGCTATAGGCATTAATTCTGAAAATATGTCTAAAATGCATTCAATTTAAACAGTAGGCCTATTCGAAAAGTAGTTGTTGAACTTCAATCTGTGGTTGATGCACTATAGAAAGTACACACTATTGTTACACTATAATTAATCTTGGTTAACCCATAATTAAAATCTAATGTAATTTGGACAACAGGAGATGTGCATTGTTTTGTAGTGATGCATGCTGTATATTTCAACTGGGGGTATGAGGGACAAAATAAAACTTGTTTTCCAATAAAGATCTTTATTTTTTCGTTTTTAAATAGGCCAAAAACCATAAAAAAATGCATACAGGTAAAAATGAACAAGTGATCGTCCATATAGCCACATATGTGCATATCAGTAAAGGTACATGTTGTTACTGTAAACTACACTACATGACCAAAAGTATGTGGACACCTGCTCGTCGAATATCTCATTCCAAAATCATGGGCTTTAATATGGATTTGGTCCCCTCTTTGCTGCTATAACAGCCTCCACTCTTCTGGGAAGGCTTTCCACTAGATGTTGGAACATTGCGGAGGGGACTTGCTTCCATTCAGCCACGAGCATTGGTGAGGTCGGGCGCTGATGTTGGGCAATTAGGCGTAGCTCTCAGTCGATGTTCCAATTCATCCCAAAGGTGTTCGATGGGGTTGAGGTCAGAGCTCTGTGCAGGCCAGTAAAGTTCTTCCACACCGAAATCGACAAACTATTTCTGTATGGACCTTGCTTTGTGCACGGGGGCATTGTCATGCTGAAACAGGAAAGGGCCTTCCCCAAACTGTTGCCATAAAGTTGGAAGCACAGAATCGTCTACAATGTCATTGTATGCGGTAGCGTTAAGATTTCCCTTCACTGGAACTAAGGGGCCTAGCCCAAACCATTATTCCTACTCCACCAAACTTTACAGTTGGCACTATGCATTGGGGCAGGTAGCGTTCTCCTGGCATCTGCCAAACCCAGATTCGTCCGTTTGACTGCCAGATGGTGAAGCGCGATTCATCACTCCAGAGAACGAGTTTCCACTGCTCCAGAGTCCAATGGCGGCAAGCTTTACACCACTCCAGCCTAAGCTTGGCATTGCGCATGATCTAAAGGCTTGTGTGCGGCTGCTCGGCCATGGAAACCCATTTCATGAAGCTCCCGACGAACAGTTCTTGTGCTGACGTTGCTTCCAGAGGCAGTTTGGAACTCGGTGGTGAGTGTTACAACCGAGGACAGATTATTTTTATGCGCTTCAGCACTCGGTGGTCCCGTTCTGTGTGTTTGTGTGACCTATTACTTCGCGGCTGAGCCGTTGTTACTCCTACACGTTTCCACTTCACAATAACAGCACTTACAGTTGACTGGGGCAGCTCTAGCAGAGCAGAAATTTGACGAACTGACTTGTTGGAAAGGTGGATCCTATGACGGTACCACATTGAAAGTAACGGAGCTCTTCAGTAAGGCCATTCTACTGCCATTGTTTGTCTGTGGAGATTGCATGGCTTTGTGCTCGATTTTATACACCTGTCAGCAACGGGTGTGGCTGAAATAGCCGAATCCACTCATTTGAAGGGGTGTCCACATACTTTTGTATATATAGTGTATCTCTGAAGCCCACCAGGAAAGAGACCACTTTGTTATCTTAAAATTGTCCTTTTTTTTCTCATTCTTAAATATCCTGAGAGTTAAAGTTAAATTAAGCCAAATTAGAATAAATGCAACATCCAATATTGCTGATACACACACGCAAACACATCTCTGCTTGGAGATTCATGATAGCACCCTCCACCAGCACACACAAAATAAGCAATTTTCTTTCCCTATTCCCGAGGCTTGCTGACTGATACTGCCACAACATATTTTCAACAGAGATGCACAGTCTTCCTACAGAAACCCACCAAGATTGACTCCATGACCCAAGAAGGACATTTTAAAGCATTCTCTAACAAAAGACTACAGGCATAATTGTCAATGAGAGGAGAATAAAAACAGAAAATCATTACGCTAAACCCATAAAGCACTTTCCCCCTCTCCATACAGTTGTTGGGCTACACCAAAGACTTGTGCTCCATCATTCTTTGCAGAGGAGAACCTTGAGGAGAAAGGTGTGGGTCTCTTGAGAAAATTCTGTCCAGACGCAGGAAAACCAAGTTGCCACGACAACGTTACATTGAGCACTTTAGAATCACTCACACTCCACTCTCAAACAACACCTTCGACAGTTACGGCCAGGCCAGCGAAAAGTTGTAGAAACGATGCTAAAACATTCAAACTGGGTTTGGGCCGCAACTCAAGCTCAACCCCCAGACAGAAGTCATTGGTGTTTCCATGATCACAATAGTATTTATTTTACTAAATTCAAACAAACCAGTATGCCGACACATATGATTGCGTCCAAGATGTCTGACATGCAGAAACACCATGTTGCAAAAAGTATCTTGACAGAGTCAGTTTTCCTCCCACAAAAATGTAAGGGAGGAGAAGCCAGACAGAACCTTATCTTGGAGATAAATAAGTTCTGCTGTATGTTCAGTGGTGTGTCGCTCACACAAAGACACCATGACAGGTGAATACGTTTTCAGTCGCCTGTTCAGGCAAAAGAGTATCTGACTATAAGTGTGAGTGAACGAGGAGGCGGCGGCAAGTTGAGGAAGGGAAAACTTATCAGAGATCTGATTTACCAGGTGTTTTCACCAGCGCAATGTTTACACCTGTTTTTTCCAGATAGTCAAACAGGGTCATAAGGTAGCATGTCATGTTTTTAGCTCTATTTTAGTCAATACTTTCTGTAAATAACAGGTGCAGACTTTGCACAGATGACAGTGTGCTTGGATTCTGAGGATTGAAAAAGTGAGAGGTTTAAAATATGTGAAGTAGTACTTTCAGAACAGTCTCTCCTATGGGAGGAGAGTGCAGGGAGCGCACGTGTCAACCGTCCAGGCTCCCAGGTGGGCCGCGTCATGACTCCTCCGTCCCCGAGTCGTCTTCATCATAGCAGCAGTCGTCCTCGTCCTCATCCTCCAGATCCTCGTCATCATAGTAATCGTCGTAGAAGAGGTCGGAGCCCTCGTCGGGGGGCGGGGCGCGAGTGCGGACGCAGTATTCGGCCAGTGTCGTGGGGACCTTCACCCCGTCGCGCTCCGCTTCAGCCTTAGTGGCCAATACCTGCTTCCTGAGAAACACACAGCGATAGAGGGGCTGAATAAGTGTGTGTGCTGTACTCTCTGTCCTTGCTACTCTCTGTCCTTGTTGTGTGTGCATGTATATATATATATATATATATATATATATATATATATATATGTGTGTGTGTGTGTGTTTACATACCTGATGATCTCGGCGTACTCTCTGTCCTTGTCCTTGCTGTCCCTCCACTTGCGGTACATGACGGAGGCGTCCACGTTCGCCGGGGAGGAGGTGTTGGGCTCATTCAGCAGAGAGATCACACTCAGAAGGATGGTCCTACAAAAGACACAAACAGGGTTGGGTTTCAGAAAGCAGCACCAGGCAGTGTCTATCAAAGTCAGCTGGTTGGCTCATTGATCCTGCTTTGTGGAATACAGGCTAGGATATTTCTGCAAAGTAAGATTTCTGAAATATGTCAACCTGTTGATGTCGACGTAAACCTAAAATGGTGCTGGTAAAAATAAGACCTACTTTACCCCTACCTACATGTACAAATTACCTCGACTAACCTGTACCCCCGCACATTGACTCGGCACCGGTACCCCCTGTATATAACCTCATTATTGTTATTTTTAAAATATTTTTTACTTTTGTTTATTTAGTCAACTCTATTTTCTTAAAACTGCATTGTTGGTTAAGGGCTTGCAAGTAAGCATTTCACGGTAAGGTCTACACCTGTTGTATTCGGCGCATGGGACAAAATTTGATTCGAATTTGATTTACTACTTCTAATTTAAAAACTCACAGAAATAAATGTTTGTCAACATGACTTATAGTAAACGCGTAACTGGGTCAGACCAAAAATAAACCAAAGTGTAACAGGAGTGCTTGTCCTCTGATAGGCTAGGTGGAAGTTTCACCATACTGCTTATACAAATCAAATTCTCTCTGATCTGCATAGGTTCTACAGGTTGACATGGGGTTTGGCTAGTATGATTCCTATTCACTTCCAGGAAGTCCTGGAGAGGTTCCACATGACATGTGATCTGGATATGAGTGACACAGCACAACGGGAGAGGGGGGGGAGCGAAGGGGAGAGAGAGCGAGAGAAGGGGAGATGGGGAGAGAGAGAGAAGGGGAGGTGGGGGAGCGAGAGAGAGAGAGAGAAGGGGAGATGGGGGAGTGAGAGAAGGGCGGAGAGCGAGAAGGGGGGAGAGCCGAGAGAATTGGCGGAGAGCGAGAGAAAGAGAGAGAGGGGGAGAGAGAGAGGGGGGGAGAGAGAGAGGGGGGAGAGAGCGAGAGAAGGGCGGGAGAGCGAGAGAGGGGGGAGAGCGAGAGAATGCGGAGAGAGAGATGAGAAGGGGTAGGAGAAAGAGGGAGGGAGACATAGATGGGGGTGATGAGAGATGAGGGGGAGAGCTAATAGAAAGGGGAGTGGAGCAGCAGAGGAGAGATGGGGGGCGAGAGACGGAGAGAAGGGAGATGCGAGAGAGAGAGAGAAGGGGAGATGGGTGGAGCGGAGAAAAGGGGAGTGGGGCAGCTGGGGGAGGAGAGAGAGAAGGGGAGATGTGGGAGCGATGAGAAGGAGAAGGGGAGATGGGGGAGCGAGAGAGAGAGAAGGGAGATGGGAGAGAGAGAGATGGAAGGGGCGATGGGAGAGAGGAGAGAGGGGAATGGGGAGCGGGAGGGGAGAGAGAGAGTGAGATGAGATAGAGATGGTGGGAAGAGGGGGAGGGGGAGCGAGAGAGAGAAGGGGGAGATGGGAGGAGAAGGGGAGAGAGGAGAAGGGTTTGGGGGGAGGAGCGAGAAGGGGCTGGGGGAGAGAGAAGGGAGATGGGGGGGTGAAGGATGAGGGCGGGAGAGAAGGGGAGATGGGGGGGAGAGAAAGGGGGAGATGGGGGGAGAGAGAAGGGGAGATGGGGGAGAGAGAAGGGGAGATGGGGAGAGAGAGAGAAGGGGGTTGGGATAACATGCTGAGAGGGCGTGTACCTGACGTTCTGGGTAGGGTTCCACCTCTCAGATGGCAGCTCCCCACTCTGAGGGTCATCAACTGGAGGGTGCAGAATGGATATACACACATCCCCATTCTAACACAAGGGAAAAGTAAAAATTAACATACACAATGTATTTATGGTCGCAAATTACAGGTGTGACTAGGATTAAGCCACATACAGAGATGGAGAGAAATTGAGATTAGGACCACAACATTTGTTTGAAAATGAATTACATTTAGTTTGACTGTATTTTGCTAGAATTGGGTCAGTGATCCCTTACCTCATATATGTTGGGGTGCCACATCTTGGTGAGGAAACGGAAGGCAGGTGGTGAGTAGGGGTAGTCAATGGGGAACTTGATACGAGCCTGTGGGACACATGGAGAAAAACAGTCATATATCAACATATGTCAGCAACACGTCCTAACATGCGTCTGTGCGACCTAACTATCTAACCCGATTCAATGGTAATCCTGATGTCGCAACCCAGTTGAGTAGAACATATTCGAGAACAACAACAGCCTAATCCAGAAATAGGTTTGACAGTGTACTGCTTGTCACTGCAGGCTGGAAGTACATCAATAGAAAGTAGATACGATGTTACGTTTTTCACGGGCCTCCTACTAACGGAAGCCAACCATGTAGTTGACCATAGCGCATGTTGGCTAGCTAGCTAACAAAACAAACTAGAAAAGTTAGCAAAACAAGTGAATTTAGTTAGTTATGCGTCGGCCTTACCTTGAAATAGCCCCCTTCATAGTGAGTGTTAGGAGGTCCAAAAATGGCCACTTCCCAATTGTAGAGATCTGCTTCATCTACCAGTGTTATTTTGAAGCCCTCGACTGGCTCCTCTTGAAGGCTCTTCATTTCTAGCATTAATGCTTTTTGTGAACTTGCTACGTGAACAGGACCATGTTGCGCCATGGTAAAATAGCCAACTAGTTAATCTTGCTAACGTTTGTCGGAGAACGTCGTCGTTTACAACACAGCTAGCTTGCCAGCTGATCCAGCAAAACAAAAAACGTTTTCTTTGTTGCGATTTCCCGATGCGCACAATGGCTAGATAGCTAACCTCTCTTTTGATTCAAGTCGATGGATTTGTTTTGAAATCGAGCAGTATCTGTTTAATCTAGCTAGTTATCAGTATCAAATAGCTCAATTTAAAACAAACTCACTCAAAACAATGTTTTGGTATTTTAGTAACTAGGCTCACCGACCTAGCTAAGCCGTGAAGCTAGCTAGTTAGCATAAGCTGCTAGCTATTGGTCCAGTGACAATGAATATTTGTTTTTTAAAATACTTTGTTACTGATAGTTATACAATAATACATCATTTTGGACCAGCTAAAGACTGCAAACATTAATAAAAAATTCACCGACGAGGTTTTTCTATTGTGTGTCCTGCTGGCTATAAATGAAGAGTGTTGAAATCAGTCTCCTCTCAAAACAGTCAATAAGGTTGCAGTGCCCTCTGGGAAATGTAGTTCCGATGAAACAATTAACTTAAACATCTCATGTCAGCGTTGCAAAAAATATAAATTTTAATCACCATGTTTATTGTAAAAGTATTCCAAAGAATTGGGAATAGCAATTTTTTATGACTAATTTTTTTTCGGGTGGGTTTTAAGAACTACACAAGACATTTCTGGAATACAGCCAATAGTGTGACGTACAACAACACGAACGTTGTTTTGCTGTAAAGTGCCTTGCTTTACCTTTTCGAGGCCAATTTATGTGGAAACTAAAACATGCCTAGACAACACACTTATAGATCGGGTGTAGTGTGCGGATTTCATTAATCATGATAAAATACTTGAGAAAAGCACATTGACGTTCTATGCCACCATCCCCCATTCTCCAAACGACCAATCAGATTATAATATGACGCTTACAAACTGCGTCGGGGCTCAATGCAAGTCCCAGCGGTTGGCTTTAACTATGCCTGAGAAATAAAACAACAAATACGAACAAAGTCAATATAAAAGTTAGTATGAGAGGGAATCCCTTCGTGTTTTTCAAGTTAAATAATGATGTTTGTAATTGTCCTAACGTTCCTTCACCTCAAATACATTACAGTTGTGTGCTGCGAACAAAAAAAATTATACAGCTCCGATTTACGCGACGGAGAACGGACCACAACGATTTGGGAACCAATTTGCCATGGGTCCGAAAAAGTATCGTCGGTCCCGTTCTGGCTCTCGTAGTCGGAACCGAAACAGGTCCAAAATAAGTAAATCACGATCACCCGAAGAGAAGAGAGGCCGGAGTCGGTCATTGTGTCGGAACAAAAATCCCCGGAGAATTGCGCGTTCTGAGAGCGGAAGCTCGGACATCAGTGGTGGATCTGCGAGGCGACATTGCCCCCCTAGCAGAGACCACCCCGGGTCGAGAAGCGACTCAGACAGCGACAGGAGACGTAAACTGAAGGGCAAATCAAAAGACCGATCCAGGTAAACATGACAGGTTAAGCTATATTAAATAAATATGTGCAGTGTATGTACACCACATGGCCAAAAATATGTGGACACTTCTTCAAATGAGTGGATTCGGCTATTTCAGCCACACTTGTTGCTGACAGGCGTATAAAATCGAACACACCGCCATACAATCTCCATAGACAAACACTTTCTGTAGGAAGATTGTGTATCTCTGTTGAAAATATGTTGTGGCAGTATCAGTCAGAAAGCCTCGGGAATTGGGAAAGAAAATGGCTGCTACTTTTGTTTTTACTTATTTTGTGTGTGTTGGTGGAGGGTGCTATCATGAATCTCCAAGCAGAGATGTGTTTGCGTGTGTGTATCAGCAATATTGGATGTTGCATTTATTCTAATTTGTCTTAATTTAACTTTAACTCTCAGGATATTTAAGAATGAGAAAAAAAAGGACAATTTTAAGATAACAAAGTGGTCTCTTTCCTGGTGGGCTTCAGAGTATGTGGACACCCCTTCAAATGAGTGGATTCGGCTATTTCAGCCACACCCGTTGCTGACAGGTGTATAAAATCGAGCACAAAGCCATGCAATCTCCACAGACAAACAATGGCAGTAGAATGGCCTTACTGCAGACCTCAGTTACTTTAAATGTGGTACCGTCATAGGATGCCACCTTTCCAACAAGTCAGTTAGTCAAATTTCTGCTCTGCTAGAGCTGCCACAGTCAACTGTAAGTGCTGTTATTGTGAAGTGGAAACGTATAGGAGTAACAATGGCTCAGCCGCGAAGTGGTAGGTCACACAAACACACAGAACGGGACTGCTTTAAGCGCATAGCCCGTAAAAATCGTCTGTCCTCGGTTGTAACACTCACTACCGAGTTCCAAACTGCCTCTGGAAGCAACATCAGCACAATAACTCTTCGTTGGGAGCTTCATGAAATGGGTTTCCATGGCCGAGCAGCCGCACACAAGCTTAAGGAGTGGTGTAAAGCTCAATGCCATTGGACTCTGGAGCAGTGGAAACGCATTCTCTGGAGTGATTAATCACGCTCACCATCTGGCAGTTCGACGGACGAATCTGGGTTTGGCGGATGCCTGAATACGTAGTGCCAACTGTAAAGTTTGGTGGAGGAGGAATAATGATCTGGGCTGTTTTTCATGGTTCAGGCTAGGCCCCTTAGTTCCAGTGAAGGGAAATCTTAACGCTACAGCATGCAATGACATTGTAGACGATTTTGTGCTTCCAACTTTGTGGCAACAGTTTGGGGAAGGCCCTTTCCTGTTTCAGCATGACAATACCCCCGTGCACAAAGCGAGGTCCATACAGAAATGGTTTGTCGAGCCATGACTTCAACCCCATCGAACACCTTTGGGATGAATTGGAACACCGACTGCGAGCCAGGCCTAATCGCCCAACATCAGTGCCCGACCTCACTAATGATCTTGTGGCTGAATGGAAGCAAGTCCCCGCAGCAATGTTCCAACATCTAGTGGAAAGCCTTCCCAGAAGAGTGGGGGGACCAACTCCATATTAATGCCCATGATTTTGGAATGAGATGTTAGACGAACAGGTGTCCACATACTTTCGGTTATGTAGTTTTCAAAAATTGGCCACATCAAATCAAAGTTTATTGCTCGCGTACACAGTTTAGCAAATGTTATAGCACGTTCAGCGAAATACTTGTTTTCTAGCTCCTAACAGTCCAGCAAAATGTCAAACACAAGTACAATAAAATAAAAAACAAGAATCACATATCTGCAACTAAACTTTTTTCTATCCCATCAGCTCTGATTCAGAGGATCCAAAGGAGAGGAAGGAAAGAGAGAGCAGCAGAGGAGAAGACAGAAGGGAGAAGAGGAGCCAGTCACATTTAGGGTCCAGTGCAGACCGGAAGAGAGCGAGGGATGGGGGGAGCATTGACCGGGAGAGGAGATGGCGGAGGAGTGCAGACAGAGGGAGCAGAAGCCCCAGCAGAGTGAGGGAACGACAGATCAGGGAGAGAACAAGGGACAGGGAGAGGATGAAAAGCAGAGACAGAGACCCAAGCCGAGGTGAGGAGAGAAGTCGAGACAGAGAGAGAAGCATCCGGAGGAGTGAAAACTGCGGGAGGGGAGAGGGAAGCAGAGGGAGGGACAAAGAGAGGAAAAGACGTCGCTCTGGCTCCTCTGACTCGTCTAAGAGCTCTGGGTCGGAGGGCGGGGCCCGTGGAGGCAGCCCGGGGTCTGGAGAGGCCGGACCCTCGGTCAGAGATGAGAAAAAGAACCAGAGAGAGATGCTGAAGGCCCTGGAGACCCCAGAGGAGAAGAGGGCCAGACGACTGGCCAAGAAGGAGGCCAAGGAGAGGAAGAAGAGGGAGAAGATGGGCTGGAGTGAGGAGTACATGGGCTATACCAATGCAGACAACCCCTTTGGAGACAACAACCTGCTGGGCACCTTCAAATGGCAGAAGGTAAGAGAGGGAGAGGAGAGTGGGCACTTGAGAAATGGGTGTATGTGGGACAACCAACCCCCTGCTTTTAGAAGTGTAGTGGTTACATCTGACCAGGCTCTGAATAATCTGTGTGTTGTTGTGATCAGGCTCTAGACCGGAAGGGCATTGGCCATCTGGGTGAGAAGGACCTGAAGGACAGAAACAAACGCATCCAGGAGGAGAATCGAAGAGAACTGCAGAAGGTATGCTTCTATGCAACACGAGCTGTGTGTGTGTTTGGTAGACTCAGGAATGTATGTGCTTATGGAGAATGCAATGCAAGAGCAGGAACTGTGTTTGTATAAGTGTGTCTGTCTGTGTGTAGGTGAAGCAGCTGCGACTGGAGAGGGAGAGAGAGAAGGCCATGAGAGAGACAGAGCTAGAGATGCTGCAGAGAGAGAAGGAGGCAGAGCATTTCAAAACCTGGGCAGAGCAAGAGGATAACTTCCACCTGCACCAGGCCAAGCTACGGTGAGTGGTGACCCCTTCATTACTGTCCCCCTGTAACCCTAACCCTCAACAACCTCACATAGTTCCATATACTCACTTAAAAACAGCCTGGTACATGAACAACATCTCACTGCTCCGGTGTTTGCTGATGTGGATTTGTGTGCAGACCTCTAACTAATAGATGTTTGTGTGTTTAGGTCTAAGATCCGTATCCGTGACGGCCGTGCTAAGCCCATAGACCTGTTGGCTAAGTACATCAGTGCTGAAGATGATGACCTGGCTGTGGAGATGCACGAACCTTACACCTTCCTCAATGGACTCACTGTCACTGACATGGACGACCTGCTCGAAGACATCAAGGTGTGTGTATGTCAGGGTTTCCGTTAGCCGGTAAATGCCGGCTTTTGGCAAAATAAGAAAAGCAGATAAATACAATTGTTACCGGCCTAATTGTCCAAATATTTAATAATCCATTGCAAAATAATGCTTTTTATTCATTGATGGCAATACCAGTCAGTGTGCTCCAACTTCAAAGGCAAATATACTTCATAGGATAATAAATCATCAAGCTGCTGGGACATTAGTGTAGGGTGTGTTTCTATAATAAATCATCAAGCTGCTGGGACAGTGTAGGGTGTGTTTCTATAATAAATCATCAAGCTGCTGGGACAGTGTAGGGTGTGTTTCTATAATAAATCATCAAGCTGCTGGGACAGTGTAGGGTGTGTTTCTATAATAAATCATCAAGCTGCTGGGACATTAGTGTAGGGTGTGTTTCTATAATAAATCATCAAGCTGCTGGGACAGTGTAGGGTGTGTTTCTATAATAAATCATCAAGCTGCTGGGACAGTGTAGGGTGTGTTTCTATAATAAATCATCAAGCTGCTGGGACATTAGTGTAGGGTGTGTTTCTATAATAAATCATCAAGCTGCTGGGACATTAGTGTAGGGTGTGTTTCTATAATAAATCATCAAGCTGCTGGGACAGTGTAGGGTGTGTTTCTATAATAAATCATCAAGCTGCTGGGACATTAGTGTAGGGTGTGTCTATTTTGACTCACGTTAAAGACACGAGGTCCTCATAAAGGACTTCAGGTAAGTGTCCCCGACTGGGCAAACTTTACGAAGATAGTGTTGATTATCCCCGATTCCATTGTGCCCGCTGAGAGGGGATTCTTTCTCCAAAAACAGAGTAAAGATGGGCTCAAGATCGCGCCTTCTTGAGGACAAAGTAATGAGGTTGATGTGCATCAAGCTGCTCCAAGGAGTTGGACAGTTTTTACTTCCCAACAGCAGCGGCTCACTTTGAGCAGGCCACGGTCGTCCGCAAACGCAAGAAAATTAGAGGCTAATTATTGTGTTCGTCAGGCCCTGTCCTAGCACTTCTGCTGCCGCCCTAGGCAAGATCAACATATGCTGCCTCTGTGTCATGTATAGTATAAAGATTTGGAATGGATTGATAGACTAGAGTAGAGTAATTATGTGTATCATGAACAATTGGTGCATTTCAGTTGAGCTTATTCCGTAGCACTTGGAAACTAAACATCGTTGCCAACTATTCACATCAGAGAGTTACAATCACTAGGCAGCCAACTGCCTATAGTAAGAAACAGAGTTCTCAATAAGCCTCGTATAATCACACATGACACGAGTTACGACCCCACGATAGTTCAAATTACAACAAACATACCATTTATTAACATCATCCAGTAGAACTGTAAAAAGAGTGAGATATAAATTGAGCTTTGGAAACAAGTGCTTTCATAAATGCATGGCGTGGGCCTCGCTTCACAGCAGCATTGTAAAATAAGATTTCTCTCAATGAACCAGCCTTAACGAATTTAGTTCATTTACATATTGAATTTGATTGTCCAACATCAGTTTGATAATTTCTTCATTTTCTGGCCGCCTAGTGGCCTCTTTCCACTGCTGTGGTGCTGAATGGCAGCGGAAATGGGGCAGACCGGCCCTGGTGTTCCTCCACCACCTCTCCCCAGTTTTGTTATTTACTAGGCCTATTTAAAATGTTCATGCCTAGGCTGTTAAATTAGAGAGGCCTAGATTGTATTTGAAAACAGCTGAGTTTTGTTATTTATTAATTAAAATGTTCATACAAACAGCCTATAGGACAGGTCGTTCGCAAATTATATTATACAAATATTATATTTTAAAGTTGTTTTATTACTTTGAAGGCGACTTGTTCTTCTAGGCTAACATTTTTTAAAATTATTATATTCATTTATGATTTCCAGCAGGGATAAAGACGCAACAGGCAATGTTTTGCTTTTAAATAAAACCTGTCATGTTGGTATAAGAACATTGTTCTATTTTATTACAACTTTACAGGCTAATTTCTGTTATTTTAAGATGAGTTACAATTACCTAAATGTGATTTTCAGCACCGTGGGTGGACGCCCTAATGCGTTACGCACCCAAAGCATTAGCATGTCCGGTAAATTAAAATCTTGCCAGTCATGCTGTCAGGCGCCAAATTTTCCTAACTGAAACCCTGGTGTGTGTGTTTGTGTGATGCCTTGTTCAATGTGCTGTTTTTAGAAATGGTGGTTTGTAGCGGAAGAGTGAGACTGTGACATGTCTGTGTGTGCTTTTTCCCTGTAGGTGTACATGGAGCTGGAGCAGGGGAAGAATGTGGACTTCTGGAGAGATATGACCACCATCACAGAGGACGAGATCAGCAAGCTCCGGAAACTGGAGGCATCTGGAAAAGGCCCAGGTACAGCAGCACCACCATCTCCGATAGGCCAAAATACAGTAACATCTCAGTATCGCTCTCGCTCATTGGCCCATATTCTGTCTTGGCTGTCCACCATCAACCTCTATACTCTGTGCCTACACCTAGGCATTTCTCCCCTTGTGTCTCTCTCCTAGGATGTGTCCAAAATTACACCCTGGTCAAAAGTAGTGTACTATATAGGGAATAGGGTGCAATTTCTTGTGCAGCCCTAGTCTATTGATGTTTTCTGTGTAGTTGACTGTCTCTCTCTTCCCCAGGTGACCGTCGTGATGGCATTAACACGTCAGTGAGCACCGATGTTCAGATAGTGTTCAAGGGAAAGACGTACAGCCAGCTCCAGGCGCTGAACCTCAACATGGAGAATAAGATCCGAGCTGGGGGATCCAACCTGGACACAGGCTACTGGGAGAGTCTGATGCAGCAAATCAGGGTCTACATGGGCCGAGCACGGTGAGGGCCGGTGTGTGTGTATGCATGCTTACCCTATCTGTCTCCGGCACCTGTGTGTGTGTTGACCATCCCTATCTGTGTTGTAGGTTGAGAGAGAGGCACCAGGACGTGTTGCGTCAGAAGCTGTTCAAGCTGAAACAAGAGCAGGGAGTGGAGAGTGAGCCTCTCTTCCCCATCATCAAAGAGGAGCCTGAGGAGGAGGCTGTGTGAGGACATGCGCGCACACACACAGGTTTCACCATCAACCTCTTTCTTCACACACACGTTCATGTACACAAGGTTTGACCTTTGACTCCTCTGTTTCTCCTCCACAGGACCGAGAGAGAGGAAGGCCCCTCCTCTTCCTTCCCTTCCACCAATCAGAAGAGGGATACAGAGGAGAAGGATGACCAAGTGGCAGGCCCATCCACAGAGGGAGACGGGGAGAAGGGTGAGGTGGTAGAGGCCGTTCTGACTGAGGAGGATTTGATCCAGCAGAGCCAGGCAGAGTATGACTCTGGCCGCTACAGTCCCACCCTGCTGCTTCCCTCGGAGCTACCGCTGGACACACACACCATCACACCTGACGAAGACACACAAAAACTACACCTCTCACGCAGACAGCTCGCCGTCACAGGTAAGAGGCTTTGCATCAACACACCCATACATACACAAAAACACTCAGACGTTCTTCCAAGCCCCATCTCTACCCATCGTCATATTAATGAATCTCTCTTTCTCTCTCCGCTTTCCTCTTGTTCTCCAGGTGATGCCAATGAGAATGCGGAGGATGAGTTTGTGCGTCGCGCCAAACAGGGCATGGGCGGGGACGAGGCTCAGTTTAGCGTGGAGCTTCCCCTCACAGGCAAGATGTACCTGTGGGCCGACAAATACCGTCCCCGGAAACCGCGCTTCTTCAACAGGGTCCACACAGGCTTTGAGTGGAACAAATATAACCAGACCCATTACGACTTCGACAACCCTCCGCCTAAGATCGTCCAGGGCTACAAGTTCAACATCTTCTACCCGGATCTGATCAACAAACGTTCCACGCCGCAGTACTTCCTAGAACCCAGTCCCGACAATAAGGACTTTGGGGTTCTGCGGTTCCACGCGGGCCCGCCGTACGAGGACATTGCCTTTAAGATAGTGAACCGCGAGTGGGAGTACTCTCACCGCCACGGGTTCCGCTGTCAGTTCGCCAACGGGATCTTCCAGCTGTGGTTCCACTTCAAGAGGTACCGCTACAGGAGATAGAACAACACCAGCCCTGGGCCTAGACCCCAACCCAGACTGGGAACCTCAGACTGCCAGGTTTTAACCATAGATATGGAATGTTAATGTACTTTGGATCTATTGGGTTTTTATTGGTTATCTTAGTGGTAACCTCTCTCTTTTATCACTGGCCGCCCATTCTGTTGTCACAAAGAATGGTTTCCATTTTAGTTTGATCAGATACTGTCTCCGAAATTACATATTAAATATTATTTTCCTAGCTGGCTTCCATTTGATGCAATCAGAGCTGAGAGGCAAAACTGTCTAATAAAACATATTCAATTAAAGAAACATCTTAACTTACATTTTCCTCTAAGAGTGGCATTAAGTATGCCTCATAATCAGTGGTGTAAAGTACTTAAGTAAAAATACTTTAAAGTACTACTTAAGTCGTTTTTGGGGGGTATCTGTACCTTACTTTACTATTTATATTTTTAATAACTTGTACTTTTACTTCACTACATTCCTAAAGAAAATATTGTACTTTTTACCTCATATATTTTCCCTGACACCCAAAAGTACTCGTTACATTTTGAATGCTTAGCAGCACAGGAAAACGGTCCAATTCACGCACTTATCAACAGAACATCCCTGGTCATCCCTACTGCCTCTGATCTGGCGGACTCATGCTTCGTTTGTAAATTGTCTAAATGTTGGAGTGTGCCCCTGGCTATCTGTAAATTTAAAAAAAACAAGAAAATGGTGCTGTCTGGTTTGCTTAATATAAGGAATTTGAAATGATTTATACTTTTACTTTTGATACATTTTAGCGATTACATTTACTTTTGATAAAGTATATTTAAAACCAACTACTTTTAGACTTTTACTCAAGTAGTATTTTACTGGGTGACTTTCACTTTTACTTGAGTCATTTTCTATTAAGGTATCTTTACTTTCACTCAAGTATGACAATTGGGTACTTTTTCCACCACTGCTCATAATCAGTCAGGATGTCAACAAATCAGAGAGCGTAAACTATCACTTTTACCATTGGCTAAGGGCTGAATTCAATCCGTAATGCCGAAGCTGGGCGCTTTAGCTCGATTGAAATGTAAATGTACCCGCGTTCGCGGAGACTGCATTCATGGTAAACCCTGCATGTCGGCTCAATCGGAAATATCGCCGCTATAGTGCAGAACTTCGGCGCTACAGATTGAATCCAGCCGTAAGTGTAATGTTGACCTATCCACAGATTTAAGACGAATTAACCGCCAATGTTAGCACATTATTAGCAATTCAACTCCTGCCCCAGATGGAAACCAGTCAAGCCTATTGGCTATTCTATATGCACACATTGGAGACACCAAAAACAGTTCAGGTAGAAAGAGTTTTAATAAAGTAGACCACTGATACAGATACAGTTAACAGGATCGTGAGAAGGCACTTGCTTAGATGGGTTAGAAATGGTACGAGAGGGAGGGGGACCACCTAAAAACCATTCAGTAATAAAGTGGATGATTCACTAAGAAAAATAAGGTCTTGCATTCAGTCTTATATCAATCCTATTGATTTAATTTGGATAATTCCTACCTATCCTTGTAGTTCTATCTCTAAGTGCTTGTTAGAGGTTGGTGCTCTACTTTCCCAAAATGTGGGTCTGGACCTATTAGTGGGTGCTGGATCCCGGCAAGATGATTGGTTGTTCACTTGAGTGGGTCACATAAAAGTTTCTGAGGCTTTAGGTGCTCATAAATCAAAAAAGGTTTGATAACCAGTCCCCTCCTCCACAGTTCTTCTGTTCCAATCCAGCACAAGGGCAGGAAAAGCTGGGTCTGATTGGCTGGTAACAGAATCATAAGGCGTGTTCCTCTGCCCAGGAGATAGATATTTTATGTATCAGCTAACCACATACACTACCGGTCAAAAGTTTTATAACACCTACTCATTCAAGGGTTTTTCTTTATTTTTACTATTTTCTACATTGTAGAATAATAGTGAAGACATCAAAAGTATTAAATAACACACATGGAATCATGTAGTAAACAAAAAGGTTTTAAACTAATCCAAATATATTTTATATTTGAGATTCTTCAAATAGGCATCCTTTGCCTTGATGACAGCTGTGTACACTAATGGCATTCTCTCTACCAGCTTCACCTGGAATGCTTGTCCAACAGTCTTGAAGGAGTTCCCACGTATGCTGAGCACTTGTTGGCTGCTTTTCCTTCACTCTGCGGTCCGACTCATCCCAAACCATCTCAATTTCGTTGAGGTCGGGGGATTGTGAAGGCCAGATCATCTGATGCAGCACTCCATCACTCTCCTTCTTGGTCAAATAGCCCTTACACAGCCTGGAGGTGTGTTGGGTCATTGTCCTTTTGAAAAACAAATGATAGTCCCACTAAGCCGCTGCAGAATGCTGTGGTAGCCATGCTGGTTAAGTGTGCCTTGAATTCTAAATAAATCACAGACAGTGTCACCAGCAAAGCACCATAACACCTCCTCCATGCTTTACGGTCGGAAATACACATGCGGAGATCATCCGTTCACCCACACTGCGTCTCACAAAGGACTCCAGACCAGACAAATTTCCACCAGTCTAATGTCCAATAATTGTGTTTTTTGGCCCAAGCAAGTCTCTTCTTCTTATTGGTGTCCTTTAGTAGTAGTTTCTTTGCAGCAATTCGACTATGAAGGCCTGATTCCCACGGTCTCCTCTGAACAGTTGATGTTGAGATGTGTCTGTTACTTGAACTCTGTGAAGCATTTATTTGGGCTGCAATTTCTGAGGCTGGTAACTCTAACGAACTTATCCTCTGCAGCAGAGGTAACTCTGGGTCTTCCATTCCTGTGGCGGTCCTCATGAGAGCCAGTTTGATCATAATGGTTTTTGCGACTGCACTTGAAGAAACTTTCGAAGTTCTTGAAATGTTCCGCATTGACTGACCTTCATGTCTTAAAGTAATGATGGACTGTCGTTTCTCTTTGCTTATTTGAGCTATTCATGCCATAAAATGGACTTGGTCTTTTAACAAATAGAGCTATCTTCTGTATACCACCCCTACCTTGTCACAACACAACTGATTGGCTCAAACGCATTAAGAAGGAAAGAAATTCCACAAATTAACTTTTAAGAAGGCCCACCTGTTAATTGAAATGCATTCCAGGTGACTACCTCATGAAGCTGGTTGAGAGAATGTCAAGAGTGTGCAAAGCTGTCATCAAGGCAAAGGGTGGCTATTTGAAGAATCTCAAATATAAAATATATTTTTATTTGTTTAACACTTTTTTGGTTACTACATGATTCCATATGTGTTATTTCATAGTTTTGATGTCTTCACTATTATTCTACAATGTAGAAAATAGTAAAAATAAAGAAAAACCCTTGAATGAGTAGGTGTTCTAAAACTTTTGACCGGGAGCATGTTATAGCAATCTGTCAGTCGATGACACAGTCGATGATGTGGCACGCAACCATTGGTTGATGCATGCAATGTCTGAGCAGAGGAACGCGACCATAGCTTCACAAACACAACAGTTCTCTTCCAACCACTTTGTACAGAACATTGCTGGTGTGTTGGTCCGATCTAGTCACAGTTTACCTGTTGCATACTGTTTAGTCCCATTGAATACTGACTGCATACAGTCAAAATATGAAGCATACTGAAATACCATTGGAGGTAGGGTCATTTCTCTGATTCATCATCAATGAACTGCAATGAGGGGAAAGTAACTCTGGCTTCACTCTCCCCCTCCTCACCCCCTCCTAACGTCACCTCCCCAGTAGAGTAGTGGTTATTACTGGTGCAGTTTCCTTCTCCAGACACCAGGGCCTTGCTCTCCGCCTCCCCAGGCTCTGAGACCTCTAGGTGGGCCACGGCAATGCGAGCAGCCCCCTCCTCTGGAGCTCCTTGGTTCTGCCCTCTCCCTGCTCCCTTCACTCTCCCACAGGGCCCAGGCAGGGGCAGATGTCCCTTGTACAGGTTCCACCCCAGCAGGACAGCCAGGAGAATCACCAGGAAGGCCACTGACACCTGCAGCGCGGCCAGGGAAGGTCCCTCGGTCCGGGCTTCAGGTCTGCGTGGGAGCCCTTCTGGGCCTACTCTAAGCTGGTACTCAGCCACAGTGGTGGTGTACTTCCCACTGTGGGAACGCTCCAGGGCCAGACAGCGGTAACGGCCAGTGTCAGAGGCAGAGGCGTTGAGGATAAGGAGGCTGTCTCGGAGGATCTGGTGGCGGGGCGAGGAGGGCAGGGGCTGGGCGTCTCGCTCCCAGTGGGTCTCTGCCAGGTTGGAAGTGGGGGGGCACTGGAGCTTCAGGTTGCCACCTAGCCACACAGTCTGATTAACAGGCTTCACAGGGTCTGGAAGATAATGTATTGGTTAGAAAACACACACACAGAAAATATAGAATACACCCTCGAGACACACACTCACCTGAGGCGGGGCAGAGAGAGAAGTCTCCAGCCCATAAACTTTGGATCAGTTCACTGAGACAGAAACGGGAAGGGTTCATGGACAGAGTTAACCAACAGTACATCAGATCTCTGTTCTTCCATATGGGTTAAAATCAAAGGGGAAAGTGCAATTAGTTTGTGCAGCATCCTACCTGTCTGCGTTAGCTGTAGACAGGGTGATACATTGGGCTGTAGTTCTGTCCCAGACACAGTAAGGGTCTCTGGCCAGGACACAGTCCACACAGGCGCCAGAACGACCACAGCTACTAAACGGCATCTGAACAGCACCGTACTCAGAGCCTGCGTACAGCTGACCCTACACACACACACACACACACAGAAACACACACAACATGTTACACACACCCTTTACACCGCCATATTTAATCTGCCGACGGACAGGAAATAGAGCTTTACGTTACCGTTGTGTTGGAGAAACGGAGGACTTTGATTGGCTCACGGGGCTGGAAGAGCTGCACTTCCTCGATGATGAACATCTCCTTATCGTAGTTAACCGCTTTCAACACACTGCCACCCTCTGAGACACAAAACACACATCGGTGCTGATACTGTATGTGGGCAACTAAGCTATACACAGCCGTTCAGAGTTATGAAACACACACACCTGTGCCTATGAACATGACATGGTATTTCTTCCCATCCAGGGCCTGTGTTCTGTGTACTACGATGCGTGTGAAGGCAGTGCCTCTCCTGACCAGCAAGGGGCGCTCTCCCATGGGCAGAACAGCCTGGTCCATGAGGGGCCGGTCTCTAATGAACTGCAGGGTCCGGTCTGGCAGGTCCAGAGTTTGAGTGATGCCCTGGTTACGAGCATCGTCATTTATACACTGGGAAGGGGAGTGGGATAGGAGGGAGAGGAGAGGTAGGGTTAGGGGGAGAGGAGGAGGAGAATAGGAAGAGGAGGAGGAGGAGAGCAGAGGAGAGAGAGAAGGAGAGAGGAGAAAGGGAGAGTTTATTAAAGTCTGGAAGAACGTACAACTTATCAGAAAACGGACACATTTCATGGTTTGGTTAGTCTGTTGAACATCTACAGATAATCTGTAGGGATAGACTACAAATAAAAAGCAGAATGAAAGAAACGTTAAGGTACAGGAAAGGATACAGAGAGAAGTAGAATAAAATCAGAGACAAAAGGAAAATAACCAGAGTCAGTCTGACTCACAGCTCCAGGTCTGGGGGAGGGGACATCACCGCTGTACATCACCCACTTCACAAAGGACGTTTCCACGGTTACCGGGGTCTTGTACTTCCCCTCGGAGAACACCCTGCCGATGTCCAACACCCTGTACGCACACACTGCAGAGAGGTCCGCCCTGTCCCTGGAACACAACCACACTGAGCATTAGAGAGACACACACACACACAAACTAAAACATACAGTTCAGTCAGTCGTGGTGCTCACATACGCAAAAACACACCCACTCATACACACAGTTCAGAGTTGACCTTACGACTGTGATGTGAATACAGCGTAGAACACACAGCTTCTCCAGTCCCCCTCCTCACACCAGCGGTAGGTGTCCTGTATGATGTAGGGTAGCTGGGACTCCAGAACAGGACAGTCCACACGGGCCTTTAGAAACGACGTCCACTTCTTCTGCAGGGTCCTCTGGCCCCCAAGGTCCCCCTGAGACACAGAGACAGAGTGAGACTTAGCTTTACATGAAGCAGCCATTATACCCTTATTGTCTATCTTTATCGAATACAAGCACCCAAAGACACCTTAAGGAGAGAAGTAATTCTCAATGCCACCGTGGGATACACACAAACACACACACCTTGCAGACACGTGCTACGCGGGACACCACCAGTTTGCTGTAGAAGTCATACTCCACAGCGGTCTCACTGAAGAACAGGTAGACCTTGTCATCATCACCTGTTGAGCTGCTCTTACTCTCTGGCATCTGGGCCATGGAGATGAAGTTGGGCTCTGAGAAAGAAAATTTTAGAAGATATCAGCCTAAAGACTAGCCTGTTCTCAGATCTGTTTGTGCTGTCTTGCCAACTCCTGTTATGTTTCCATTATAAGAGTTGGCAAGACAGCACAAACAGATTGAGGACCAGGCTATAAAGACGTATCCTCTTGTTGATTAACAAAGTAAAGAGAGTTGAAAGAAGACTGTCTCACCGTGTAGCCAGGAGCTCTTGAACTCAGTGCGTATTGAGGAGGGAGAGCTGCGCATCACCACAGGCTCAGAACCCAGGAAGTTCATTGAGGTGGCTGAGTAGAGGGTTTTGTCTAGAAGGGATACAGCTTTTGTCAAAAATTGACTTTCCGTAGCAGGTTGGGAGAACTTACGCAGCAGGTAAGAAGAATTAACACAGCAGGTTAGGAGGAGTAGGTTAAGTTTAGGAAAAGGGTTAGGATTAGCTAAAACAACTAAAACACTTTTGATGTCAATTTGACAAAAGCTGTATCCCATCTAGACATGACCTGAGTACAGGTCCTCACCTGAGAGCATTGTGGGTAAAGAGGGTTCAACTCAAACAAGCCATCAAATCAGGGATATCAAACCTGCATCACTAATGCTAGCCTTTTCTGATTTAAAGGAGATTGATATTCCCAGATTCCTGACAGAATTCCAGAGTAGTTACTCACCGATCATGATAGAAGAGTATCTCTGGAATGGATCGAAGGGACACTTCCCTTTGCCATCCTCTTTCTTCTTTTCCAAGGTCAACTCTCCATCTTTGTACGACTGCAAGGACAGACAGATGAGAGGTACACTTGTGAATTATGTTGTGGATTTTATAGCTACTATTACAGGTTATGACCGGAGTTGATCAGAATGAGTGTTGTGTTTCCATTGACTCACCATGTAGTCACACTCTGGGTTGAAGGCATTGGTCCCACACACATACATCCTATCATCCTCCATCGTATGCAGGACCCTGATGTAGTTCTGGCACTCTATCTGTAACACAGTATCTAGTTATTTAGCTGTTTGTATAGAATGCACATATTTAAATACAAATGAAATAGGAAAGGACAATGAAATGTGCAGAGAAAGCATCAGTTCACTGACTGGTCTGGACCTACCTGATCTTTTCCTTTGTAGCTGCACTCCTTCTGCTGCTTCTCTGTCACTTTCCAACTTACCTGAAAAAGAGGTGGAAGATAAAGTTGGAAGATGAACACTAAAGCTTGTTGAACATGAGACATGAGTCTTCCAAGACATCATTTCATAGCCGTCAGTATAAGTGCCAAAGCAACCCGCTATTAAACTGGAATACTTCAGTGTTCTTACGGAGGATTTCCTGTTGGAGATGTCGTTGATGTCCAGGGCGTAGATGTTCTCTCTGGCTCCCAGCAGCAACAGACCCAGGTCCTCTCTCAGCAGCATGGTGGAGTAGTTCCACACCCCCTCCTCACGGAACAGACGACCATTCTCTCCTAGTACAGCAGAATGAGTGACATTGAATGATACAGAGTGACACCAATAGTTACTCACAAAGACACCTGCAGTTACACCGGATGATAGTTATGAGAACTCTTTTTGACACATATTACAGCGACATAAAATTATACCTGCCCCTAATCCAAATGACACTATAATATGTAGATATATTCACCTGAGTTACACAAACAGTATAGACAGAAGCAGTGAATAAATACTGATTGACGCACTTAAATGCAAGAGCAGTACTTACTATGATAGGGTACCGTTTTACGCGGAATGCAGTCCAGTGGCGAATGGGCATCCAGCGTCAGAGCGAGAGGGAGGAGCCAAAATAAACGTACGACCACTAGAGGATGCATGGCTTGTTCCTTGTCAAAATGTAATTTAGTTCCTCAAACGGCTCTTAGAAGGAAATCCAGTCCAGTTTGTGTTAAATCCAGCTCCAGTAGAGAGAAGGCAAGAGGTACTCATAGACCCGGGCTACGTGTTAGGCCTACTCTGTGTTCAGAGGATAGATGGCTGTGTGATTGAGCCAGTCTCCAGCACAGGCTTCTGATCCCTCTACAGGCCTCTGTCAGCAGGGAGTCCATGGTAAGATGGATGGCACGGGCCTGAGAGAGAGAGGTGGGAGAGAGAGAGAAAGAGAGAGAGAGAGAGGGGGGGGGGGTCTATGGTAAGATGGATAGCATGGGGAACAGGCACAGGCACTGGCCCGCTAACTGCTTTGGCCCATCTGAGAGAGAGAGAGAGAGAGAGAGAGAGAGAGAGAGAGAGAGAGAGAGAGAGAGAGAGAGAGAGAGAGAGAGAGAGAGAGAGAGAGAGAGAGAAAGAAAAGAGAGAAGCGCTAGAGCGAGAGAAAGGTATGGTTAAAGAGCGTGGAGTGAGCTACGGTCTGCGCAGCAGTAACTCTGTCACAGCTATAGTGATGGTAATGTGAGGGCATGAAAGGCTTTCAGTGGGGTGCAGGAGTGTCGACTTCAGCTCGCCTGGACCTAACACAACCACAAAAAAAGAGATCCTCAAGGAATACCAAATCCTGTGTGGACAGGGGAAGTAGCGGTACAAAATGTGAAAAACACAGATATTGTTCGGTTCATGGACACAAACACAACACAGTCTTGTTTTACTAACCTTGTGGGGGGACACAATTGATTCCATTCAAAATCCTATTTTCCCTAACCTCTAAACCTAACCCTAACCTAATTTTTTACCCCTAACTCTAATTCTAACCCTAAACCCCTTAGAAATAGCTTTTTTCCTTGTAGGGACCGGCAGAATGTCCCCAGTTGGTAAAATGTTTGTTTGTGTACTATTGTTGTGGGGACTTCTGGTCCCCACAAGTGTAGTTAAACATGTCCATACACACACACACACACACAAATACAACTAACCCTGGTCTACCATCACAGCAACATTGGCGGTTGTACAATCTTGTTCAGTAGATGTTGCAACTCTGTCTCATTTTGAGGATCTGATTTCCCCACTACAGTAGGTGTGTCCAGGTGTTTCATTACTCAGAGTGCTGGTTGTGTAGCCGATTAGCCACAGCATGTCACAGAACGCATGTCACAGATGTTTCACATATCTGCCCCTGAGGCAAGAGGCTCCATCAGTTAACACATCTGCACATGCTGCAGCTACACCAATGGCATTCATATCTAAACACATCACTAGTAAGAGACAGGTCTGTTTGCATGTCTGTGAGTGGTGCAACTGCAGAAAAGACTTTCCCATGTAGTATAATGCATTTCTTTGTCCAAAATTGTTTATATTTTGAGAAACTTCAGCAGTGAATGGTGTAACGTTGTGGGCTATTGTGTAGAAATTGGTTTCTGCATCTGTAATATCTTTCATTTAGTCTAATTATAAATGGTCATACCTAACACCTCAACTGTTGGCAGTTGGCAAACAAGTTAACTGAATAAGTTATAGAGTAACTCAAAACACGAAACAACCACTCTACTTCTGTTCCCTATCACTCACCTGTCTGGTGGACATAAATGCACTCAGTAGTTTATAATTTGTGAGAAAAAAAAAGTTCACACATATCACGGCTCAAATTCATTAGGCCCACAATGCATTTTGAAAACATTTATCAAAAATAACCCTTAAAAAAAGATTAATCAGAGATGTAAGCCTACCTTTAAAAGTGAATGTTGTTATTTCTCGAGTGTGAACAAGAAACCGCTCAGGTCTGGTTGCTCTTTAGTTCAAACACAGCACAAACCCACAGCCAAGCGCTTTCCACAAAGAGGCAGTGGCTAAACGGCTGTCCTTGTTCCCCCTTCTGTCTCTGTCCGACCCGTTGAAAGGGACTGTTGTTGTCGGCTATATTGTTGGGAAAGTTAAGGCGCTCAGATCCCGCCGTGAAGGACCTGAATAGATACCGCTGCTGCTATGGCTCCGTTATCATGCCAGATTATTCTCTCTGACTGAGCAACCTGGTCTCCGAGCATTTCGTATTATTCTGTAAGTAAATCCGAGAAGTACATTTAGTATAATATGTTACGTTTCGTATGGTATGTATTAATTTGTGAATGTCCATCACCCATTTCGTATAATATGTTATGAATTACAATGTTGTATTATATGTTATGAATTAGCAAAATGTACAATATGGAACAAATTTGTAAAACGTGCTATATGTTACGAATTTGAAAAACCAGTGGAGTCTGGTGGGAGGAGCCATAGGAGGACGGGCTCATTATAATGGTTGGAATAGAAGACATGGAATGGAGTGAAACGTGGTTTCCATATGTTTGATGTGTTTGATACCGTTCCATGTGTATGATGTGTTTGATACCGTTCCATATGTATGATGTGTTTGATACCGTTCCATTAATTCCATTCCAGACATCACAATGAGCTCGTCCTCCTATGGCTCCTCCCACCAGACTCCACTGGTTTTTCAAATTCGTAACATATAGCATGTTTTACAAATTTGTTCCATATTGTACATTTTGCTAATTCATAACATATAATACAAAATTGTAATTCGTGCTCAACAGCTTCCACTGTGCAAAACGTATGATATGTTATGAATTCTAGCTAGCTGGCTAACGTTAGCTAGGCTAGGGGTTAGGGTTAAGTTTAGGAGTTAGGTTAAAGGGTTAAAGTTAGGGCTAGGGGACGGGGAAGGGTTAGCTAAAACGGTTACAGTTAGGGGAAGGGTTAGCTAAAATACTAAGTAGTTGCAAAGTAGCAAAAAAGTAGTAAGTAGTTGAAGTTGCTAATTAGCTAAAATGCTAAAGTTGTCTGTGATAAGTTTTGAACTCGCAACTTTGGGTTAAACGCTTACCCATCCACCCCGACCAACCTACGTTCATTTTTGTCTTTAAGTAACCATCTGTCTTGTGTAACCATCCTAAACGTGAGATATCATACTAATTTGCGTGTCTCGGATTTCGTTAACTATGTTAAGTCTAGTCTATGAGACCAGGCTGTGAGCGAGGTGAGATAAAATGAGCGCGCTCTCTTGTAAAAAACAGGCGAGTACCGACAGGACTGCCAGACATAGAAATGACTAAAATATCACACACCCCTTGAACAATATAACACTACATACGCTAATGAAGACGGTTCCTACAACAATAATTATATTTTTAGTGTAGTTTAGTGTAGTGCTCAAGTCAAATGTGGACAGTACAGTGGGGACAGCGGGTTTTAAGGACCTATCCAGTTCGACAGAAAATATCAAATAATTGAATGCTCCATCATTGATCGAAAACATTTAGCCTAACTACATCTTGAAGCAACTAACAGTCGTATCTGTACTGCTAACAGTTTGCTTATCTCATGCTTGAGTGCATAAAGTGTTTTCCCATGAAGTTCTTGTGGCCCTTACGAAAACTAGCGCAGTTTAAGATGCAGTCCAGAGTCCAGACGGAGTCACTCCCTCCGCAGAAGAAGGGGGGGGGGGGGGGATGGGAGGACTAGTGTGGGAGCATACTTAAATTCACACATGACACCAGGTAAGACAAACTGACCCTAGCCCCCCAGCATTTAGACTATTGCAGCATAGATACTGGAGGCTGAGAGAGGGGGGGTCGGGGGACACTGTGGCCCTGTCCGAAGATACCCCCAGACAGGGTAAACCAGGCAGCATATAACCCCACCCACTTTGCCAAAACATAGCCCCCCCCACACTAAAGGGATATATCAACAGGCCACCAATTTACTACCCTGAGACAGGGCTGAGTATAGCCCACGAATATCTCCTCCACCGTACTCGCCCATTTATTAAATGTTCCTTTAAGATAGCTTCTCATGGAGACATAACATGCCCAGTTTGAGCTACTCCAAGAAGAGACGTTGCAGGTTAGCTCATTGCTGCCCCTCTTGAGTAACTTGAGTAACTCAAGTTGAAGACCGACTGGGCTGCAGGCCGGCAGTATCAACTAAATTATCCTTATAAATTCTTCTGCGAATATAATCGGTTCAAGGACATACATCTGGTATATTAGAAGTAATTATTGGTACCATGATTGTCTTAGAATTTATTTATTTTTTACACGAAGATTGACCACAAAGATTGCCATTTAGTTTGTTTTGTTTTCTGCTAGCAATGCCTGCAGTACTGCGGTCAGCCATGAACTTCTGCGGCTTCAATGAGAGGGGGCAGCCGTTCTACTCTGTTTCCATCGCTCTACACCTGGAAAAACATAAGAGTTATTTTTATTTATTTAAATTTATTGTGTGTGTGTGTGTTGATGCGTGTGTGTGACTCTCGATGGTATCTCCCCCAGGAGAGGTACAGATAGGGGTGAAGGGGCAATGCGGGTGGGGGTGTGGGCGCTGTCGTGTGCGTACTGCTCTGCGTCTGTTTCTCTCTCTGTCCACAACCTAAACAGCTATCCCTGCTCTGCCTTCTGTCTCTGGCAGGGCCGGCTCTAGCCCTTTTGAGGCCCTAAGCGGGATTTGGTTGGGGGGCCCCCATCTCGCTGCAAAACATTTTAGTAGCCCCTCTCTTGAAGGCGGAAAGAAACATTTACGTTTTCAAGTTCATTTCCTGCAATTCTACACATTTTGCCATGGGGTGGAGAGAACATTTTGCAATTTTATAACAAATGTAATGCAATTCTACTCATTTTGCCACGAGGCAGAGAGAACAGTTTTACAGTTTTACAGATAATTTCCTGCAATTCTACCCATTTTGCCATGGGGTGGAGAGAAATTTTTGCAGTTTTAAACGCCCAGTTTTAGCGAAAATTCACTTTATTTCAGCTGAAAGACGATGCCCATAGCTTACCCATGATGTTGCACAACGATTTAAGTCAATAAGTCATAGTTTTAGTCAAAGTATGATATATTTGGGGTTGAAGTGGGAAATCCGAAGCGTCAATGGTGTGTGTTTCCCCTA